ATTATTATTATTATTATTATTATTATTTGACAGTACATCTATAAAATTGCAATAATAATATTTATTTAAACATTAAATAGTTAGGTTTATAAGTGCTTCCATCACATGTTTGGTTCATTAATGTACATTGAAGCGACTCGAATGCTTGAGCAGGATTTCGAGCTTCATCACGACTCTCATCTCAACCGTTTACTGAACGAAGCTGATGACAGTTTACTGTGTGTGTGAATGTTGTGTTGTGAGCCCAGACATCTTTAACACATAAACTGGAGAGTGAGCGTAAAGATGGCCATCAGCGTTACTGTCACTGCTGTCATTTTGTGGAGGAAATGGAGAAATTATGTTTTGTTTTGTTTTGTTTTCACCAACAATTACTTCAGTCCAGGATTATTTTATCACCATTTAGATACTAATTATTGTTAATATTTTGAAGTAGATATTATTTTAATATTTTCTCTTTTCATTATAATTCCAGTTAAAATTTCAGTATTTTTTTATTAGTTAATAATTTTAGATTTTGAAGTTTTTAGAAATTTTTTAGAATATTATTTTTTTAAGTTTTTAAATGTGTATAATTTTTTTAAATTAACTTTTAGTTTTTGATTTTACTTTATTTAGTTATAGTTATTTTAGCATTTCAGCTTAAACTAAAAGAAAATGAAAATGTATTTTTTTTATATATCTTTTATTTCTGTTCTTTTTTTATTTTATTTTATGAATGTGTTTTTTTCATTTCTATTCATATTTCTTATTGTCAAACTTTTTGTGATTTTTTTTCAGGATTCTTTGATGAATATGAAATTTAGCATTTATTTGAAATATTTTGTGAAAGAAAAAAAGAAAAGCAGTAGTGTGTATATATCAGTGTGTTCCACTACAGTAGGCGTTTCAGAGTGCCGTTGGTCACATGACGTTCAGAGTTCGTGTGATTGGCTCAGAAGAGTCTGCCAGCAGTAATGAGCACAGATGTCTCCAGCCAAGCAGCTGTCATTGAGATGAATGTGTGAGAGATCAGAGCTCCTCCGGATCGACGGAGACCCAGATTCACTGCAGACCAGCGAGATTCACCAGATCTTGCCTTTGTGGCCTCGTATTTCTTCACTGTATTCGTTTAGCCGTTACCCTTCTCTCTTTACCGGATCCGTGTCTAAACATTGTTCTCCGGTTGACTCTAAAGGTCTAATTAACATATGCACAAAAACACGAGAGATAATTATTTCTGCAGTCACGATTCGGAAAACTCAGATAATTGAATTCTCCTCTTCATTTCCCCCCCAAAAAAGCCAAGTCAGCGGTCCGGACGCGGCTCTCTGAAGTTAATTCTCTTCATTATGGAATCATGCTTTCTTCCACACGCAAACGTCTCCAGCAAAGCATTGAGTAACTCATTACACAACTTCATGAACTCGCTGTGTGATCCACACATCTCCATATACGCCCCACTCTTTTAGAGATTCAATAACAGAGTATTATTATTATTATTATTATTATTATTATGTATTTATTTTTTATTTTTTATTTTTTTATTGGAGCTTGACAGTCGTTGCATGGACTGATGTTTTTCTTATTTTATGGAAACAACATATTGAGCGAAAGTGGCTTAATAATGGCTGAGTTTTCATTTTTAGCTCACACAAGAGACACAAGCTGGATAAAACAGCACAAGGGTTTAATCAAACTCTTACAGACGAGTGACAAAATGAAAAATGACAGAACGAAAGCTCAACAGCAGATGCAGCGCAAACAGATGTGCACACATTAAAATCATCTTCAGATGAAAACAGGTCAAGCTCACGCACCTGGCTGTGTCCTGCGGGACTCGCAATACATCTTTAATTAAGAAAACAATCTTCCTCCGCTCAGAGTTGACTAAACTGAGACCTACTTCTGGCTTTACCGTCTTTACTGCTGCTGTTTTTGTTGAGAAGTTTCCCATCTGAGAACAACATTTAATCTGTGTTTAAGGAACCGGAGTTTAAAGGAATGAAAGTTTTTTTTTTTTTTTTAGTGGAACACAAAAGAAGATGTTTAGAAGAATGTCCATGCTGCTCGATAATATTTAACCTTGTGAAACGTGTCTCATCATATCTAAAGCTGAACTTCTGCAGTCCATCTCCCTTTGTCCATATTTCAAGTTTAGCAGCCATATAACAAAAAAAATGTAAAAAATATTAGTTTGGCCAATCCATCAGTCTTTTAGACTTTTTTTTTTTTTTTGGTCCTCAAACAAAAGTCTGTTCATTAGATTGTGCATGATTATTTTAAATATAGAATAAGTATCAGTGCTGGCTAGTGACTGAGTAGATGTAATCTGGATTATGTAATCAGATTCCCGTTGCTGAGGAATATAATGTAGCGATCCAATACCTAGGCTATTTTAGTAATAAAAGTCATGGGGCAGCGCTGACCAAGAGTCTCTGTGCTCATGAATGATTCTGCGATCTCTCTCGCTCTCTGTGTGCATCAATTAAAGCAGCGCATTTATATAGAACGGTGATTAAACTATGTATTAAACGGGTTTAATGCATTCCTGCAAGCCAATCAGAATCCAGTATTCAGAAAGACCATGGTATAATGCATTTTATGATGTTGATATCAAAAAATTGAATATATTTTATTTATCTTTGTTTTTTTTTATATAAATAATAATAATAATAATATCAAAATGTAATGATAAGTTTAATCTCAATTAGTTAATATCCATCAGTCTTTTAGACTTTTTTTTTTTTTTTGGTCCTCAAACAAAAGTCTGTTCATTAGATTGTGCATGATTATTTTAAATATAGAATAAGTATCAGTGCTGGCTAGTGACTGGATGGATGTAATCTGGATTATGTAATCAGATTCCAAGTACTTGTAATTAGATTATATTACATTTTAAAATGCTCATAATCAGATTACAGTAATTTTTTATGGATTACATGATTGCATATTATTCACACAAGGGCAGTAAATCATTCATCATTTATTAAAATATTAAATAAATTAAATGTTCCTTTCTAACCACCTACTGTGTGTGATATCATTTAGCTTTGACTATATTCACAAATGTTGTGTAAATAAAATAAACTTTCAGTAACTGCTGATTCTGGAAATCTGGACACAAATATTTCAAACCAGGAAGACTTTGGGCGTGTGATGCCATCACAGTGGTCATGTTTATTAATGTAATGCAGGAATTCCCAAACGCTTTTGTCAGCCAAAGCCCTTAAAATAAGTTGTTTACTTGAAATATCTCTGAGGAAGTTAATATTTCAAATATTTTAACAACATATTTGCATGTTTACAGTTCCCTGGTGTGGGTTAATGGTCACAAATAAAACATTTATACATTTCTGTAGTTTTACATAGTTTCAATTATTTTTATTTTACATGTTTATGATTAATTATTAACTTTTTGTCAACTCACTGGTCACTCACTAATGTTTACGTACGGGATAATGCACGGCTAGCTGTGTGAATTACCTGCGTCTGTGCGTCTCTCTCTACAAACAATGAAGTTGTAAGTTTAGTTACTTCAAAAACAGCGATTTTACCTCCTCGTTGCTGAGGAATATAATGTAGCGATCCAATACCTAGGCTATTTTAGTAATAAAAGTCATGGGGCAGCGCTGACCAAGAGTCTCTGTGCTCATGAATGATTCTGCGATCTCTCTCGCTCTCTGTGTGCATCAATTAAAGCAGCGCATTTATATAGAACGGTGATTAAACTATGTATTAAACGGGTTTAATGCATTCCTGCAAGCCAATCAGAATCCAGTATTCAGAAAGACCATGGTATAATGCATTTTATGATGTTGATATCAAAAAATTGAATATATTTTATTTATCTTTGTTTTTTTTTATATAAATAATAATAATAATAATATCAAAATGTAATGATAAGTTTAATCTCAATTAGTTAATATCAATGTTTAATGATCAACTGAAAGTTTAATAAAAAAGTGATCTACAAAAGTAGTTAGAATAC